ATAAGTTGTTTGCTATATGTTATATTTGAACCAAATGCTTAAAGAAAACCATTTGTTTGACTTTTCTAACACTAATGTCACGACATCTTAATTGAGTTTATAAGTTGTTTGCTATATGTTATATTTGAACCAAATGCTTAAAGAAAACCATTTGTTTGACTTTTCTAACACTAATGTCACGACATCTTAATTGAGTTTGTAGCTTGTGAATCTAAAGTTTTATCTCCATTTTATTTTTAAACATACCCACCTCCAAAAAGGATTCTTTTGCCTATAAATCCAAAGTTCTACTGCCGTTTAATTTATAACCCGTACGCTTCTAACTCAACTGAATTTTTAGACCCACATTATTATAACAATTTAGTTTACGATATAAGTTACTATATGTAGTTATTTGCTATATATATTTTTTAGTGGTAATGTATAAGGTGTATTTTTAACCAAATGCTTAACTCAATTCTTTTGTTGTCTTCACACTAATACCACACGTAACCACGGTATCGCAAGGATCAGTTTTGCTTGTACTAACCTAATTTCAGCGTGGTTCTGAGTTAGCTCTTACTCTTTCAAATTTAATGTCATCATCCGTAGCTTTCACTAGGAGGACTTAAAAGTGATATCTTCTTTCTGTGCTGAGGCTGAAGGCCCCCAGTATATATAAGTTACGAAGTTGTTCTGTTTATTTTATTTCACCGCATCCTTTCTAATAAGAAATAAGAGTCACTTTGGTTTATCATAAAATATATCCTTGATACTTCTCATCCACTTCAATTAAGTCGTGTCATTAATATATGATGATAATATTGAAAACGCATGTTTAATTATTAACAACTACATTCAAATTGGTTCTCGAATTCTGAGCTATATATGCCTGAAGAGATAAGCTCAGGATTCAGATTGTCAGGGTGGCGGTCGACCGGCCCGGTCGACCGCATTCGTGCACAAGGCTTCCTGGGCGTCTGGAAGGAAATCGGTCGACCGGTGCGGTCGACCGACGGTTTTCTGGAGTTTGGGTTTTCTACTAAGAGCTGGTCGGTCGACCGGGCCGGTCGACCGGAATTGATCGCGGTCGACCGTGCCGGTTAGTTTGTTCCTCTTGATTTCTAATAGTGAAAACTCCCCCCTCCTTGCCCCGTGGACGTAGGCATCTTGCCGAACCACGTAAAACTGGTGTTTGGTTGTTTGTGCTGTTGATTTTGGTTGGTTGTTTATCTTTCTTGGCGATTGTTTTGGTTTCTCGAGGCACAACAATTGGTATCAGAGCTCCGGGCTACGCTTGGGCTATTTTGGAGGAGTAGATCGCTTTGGAAGTTCATCTAGGGCTTCGTTTGGTGATAAAGGTGGGATCTTTTCAGTAAAAATCTCGTCTTTTTCAATTTGGATCTATTTCTCGTTTGTTTCCGCATTGGTTTGGTGGTGCTTTGAGATATATGGCTGAAAAAGATAAAAGTGGGGAGGGTTCTTCTGGTGTGAAGGCCGTCCAAAGTTTGAATATACATTCTATGAAAATAGATGTGGAAAAGTTCAACGGCACAAATAATTTTGGACTTTGGCGATGCGAAGTCATGGATGCGCTAAATGCGCAAAATTTGGAAGATACATTGGAGTTGGACGGGAAACCGGCCGACATTGATGAAAAGGTTTGGAATAAAATGAATAGAACGGCGTGTGGTGTGATTAGGTCTTGCCTTACCCAAGACCTTAAATATGATGTGATGAATGAAACTTCGGCAAAGAAGATTTGGGAGGTCCTAGAGGGCAAATATTTGACGAAGAGCATCGAAAATCGTTTGCATTTGAAGAGGAGGCTTTATCGCTTCCAATTGAAGAAGGGGACATCCATTAGTGATCACATGAACCACTACACGAAGCTACTTGCAGATTTGGCGAATGTAGATGTCAAGGTTGAAGACGAGGACAAGGCATTGTTGTTATTGAGTTCCTTGCCCGACGAGGAATATGAGACCTTCGTTCTCACTCTTATTAATGGAAAGGCATCACTTTCGTATAGTGAGGTCACCGCAGCCCTTGTGAATTATCAACTTCGAAAGAAGGACAAGGAGACTTCCATCGAGCCGGTTGCTGGTGCATTGGTTGCAAGAGCTAGAAGTCCAAACCGTGGAAGAAGATCGCAGTCTAGAGTGGGGCATCCTGCAGTTGGTAGGAATCAGTGTGCTTTTTGTAGAGAGGATGGACATTGGAAATCCGAATGCCCAAAATTGCAAGCTGTGAAGAATAAAGGAAAAGTTATTCAAGCTTCAGAGGTGAATATTGCCAAGGCTAGTGGCGATGTTTCAGATTCAGATTCTTCGGGCTATTCGTGCCCAGCTCTTCCGTCAGTTGATGTTGCCGACTCCACCGAGTGGATGTTGGATTCTGGTGCTACTTACCACATATGCCCTAGAAGGGATTGGTTCTCCAGCTTTCAGGAGTTGGAAAGAGGGGATGCTGTTCTCATGGGTAATGATCACAGATGCCCTATTGGTGGTATTGGTACCGTTCGGATTCGGATGAGTGACGGGATGATCCGGGAGTTGGCTGATGTGAGGTTCGTTCCTCAACTGAGGAAGAACATCATTTCACTTGGGGTATTGGAGGCATCGGGCTATAGGGTGATCTTGGCGGATTCTCGCTTGAAGGTCACATCGGGGTCCATAATTGTGATGAAGGGAGTCAGGCGGAGTAATTTGTATTCTCTACTTGGGAGCACGGTAGTTGATAGGGCGCTGACTACTTCTATGGCTAGACTGTGGCATTGTTTGGTGCTGGGATATATTGTTGGTTATACCGTGCACAGATTGTTGAGGAGTGCTATGACCTGCAGATTGAAGTCCTGTGAGCACATTGGTATGAGCAAGAAGACCGAGGTGGAGTTCAGCACTTCTATCCATCGATCGAGAGGTCTTATTGGAGGTGTTCAGTCAGGCATTTGGGGGCTTTCCGAGGAGGCATCATCGGGAGGTAATCGTTATTTTGTTTCCTATGTTGGGGATTGTACTAGGCATATTTGGGTTGCAACCAAGTCCCGTTGGTATAAAGACCTAGTAGTCCGCAACAGTTGGAGGAGGTGTATGGGCAGAAAGGTTACCAGTCGTACTTATTCTAGTAGGAGTCCTTTCTTGCATTGGTGCCGAGCTCACGGCAGTTGGAGACACTTCAGAGGGAAGGAGACAGTGGGGCGACGTGATGAGATGGCGGATTTAGTGGGCCGTTCTTTTCTGGAGGAGGATCGGTATTGGTTGTCGAGCAGTGGATCTGGTATTCAGGCTTCGACAGGTTTGGGTCATCTTATGTGGTTGCCGACTGCTGCGTGTAGAGTTGTTAGATCTGGTGGAGCTGCTTTAGATTTTGGTCGGCGTCGGATATTTGGCTACCCAGCACTTGGTCACATCGTTGATGTGAGGTTGGATCCGATTGCGCAGTTGGGATTCAGGAGTTCATTTGGCTATCAGTTGGGAGCTTCTGAGTTTGGTCTGAGCAGGTTTGTCACTTTGGACTCTCGGCAGGTGGAGAGTATTGATCAGGTCAGAGGGATATCGCAGCGGGTGGAGGTTGATGCTACTCCACATTGGGTGGGGACTTTCCCACATACTCCAGGTCATTCTGCATTGGTTGGGATTCCAGCTGAGGTGGCACAGCATGGGAGTCATTTATTTATGGGTGCAGATGATGAGGTAGTTGTTTTGGATGCAGCTGATGGATATGTTTTGGATACGACCATTGTTACATCTCAGGTAGAGGTGTTTGGATCGCTTCAGTTTGAGGTCGTTGATGATGCTATCAGCCGCAAGTTGGATTGAGGGCCTTTGGAGGCCCATATGGTGAACTACGTGAAGGCTTGATTCCTTGGGCAAGAGGATACGTAGGCAGTCTTTATGATGCAGCCGATTTGGTGAGCGACATCGACATTTGGGGAGAGTGTTCGCACTCCCATTTGGGTCTCAGCAAGTGAGGCATTTGGTGTAGTCGGTGTAGGCTCAGTTGTTTGGTGAGTAGACACAGTTGGTTTGGGGTTGAGTGTTCGCACTCCCGTTTGGATCTCGACGTGTTGTGATTGGAGTCCGTTGTCATGAGTCCGTTGCCATGGCATACTGGGTGCAACAGTTAAGGTATTGGTTTGATCGGTGTCGGCTCAGTTTTGGAAGAATCTTCGCTGAGGTGGAGATTTGAAGAGATAAGCTCAGGATTCAGATTGTCAGGGTGGCGGTCGACCGGCCCGGTCGACCGCATTCGTGCACAAGGCTTCCTGTGCGTCTGGAAGGAAATCGGTCGACCGGTGCGGTCGACCGACGGTTTTCTGGAGTTTGGGTTTTCTACTGAGAGCTGGTCGGTCGACCGGTCCGGTTGACCGACGCTGTTTTGGACTGGGCTTTCAGGTTTTCGACCCGCTTCGTTTTGGATTTGTATAAATACCCTTTGGGTGTTTTTTAGGGTTAAGAGCAAGGATGAATTTGAGCAGATTGAGAGAGTTTTCTTTGGGCTTCTATTCTAGGAGCAATTGGAGAGATTGAGAGTTGATTGTTGAGGGTTTATGAGAGATTTGTAACCCTACTTTGTTCCTCTTGATTTCTAATAGTGAAAACTCCCCCCTCCTTGCCCCGTGGACGTAGGCATCTTGCCGAACCACGTAAAACTGGTGTTTGGTTGTTTGTGCTGTTGATTTTGGTTGGTTGTTTATCTTTCTTGGCGATTGTTTTGGTTTCTCGAGGCACAACAGCCAATTTAAGGGGGGAAAACTACGTTCAAATTGGTTTGAGTCTTACAAATTGATCTTTTTTAAACGAGAGGCGCTACCGTCACACCTTAAACCACACTCCCAACCACACTCCTCTTTCTTTACAATGCATTAGGGCCCACATGAGAATTTTTTTAAAAATTCTCATGTGGGCCCCAATGCACTGTAGCGAGAGAGGAGTGTGGTTGGAGGTGTGGTTTAATGGTGTGCCTCTAGCATTTTCCTTTTTAAACTGATGATCGAGAAAAAAGTAAATTGGTTATTTATTATAATAGTAGTAATAATAATAATTATTATTTTGGAAGAGGTTTACATAAGATAAGACCTCATGCAACAGATGCGCTTTACACGTGCATCGCGTTATGTCACCGTAGCATTGACCATCTTATAACTTGAGGCTGCAGTTAGTGACTAAAACACTTGAAAATGAAACCCCTGCCACCTTCAACTACCCACAAAATAGACAAACTACCAGTTAAAAACAATTTAGAAACGGAGAAAATAAAATAAAATAAAGAAGATTTCTACTGAATCTTGTCGCTGCCTTGTTTTTGTATTCTATGTTATACACAACGAAGAGACCACTCTCCCCATCAAACAAAAGTCCTAGGTTTCATTGCGGAAGGATACATTACATTCTTGTTTACAACGGAAACAAGCTCTCATGTTCACCCTTACTCATCAAATAACTAAAGACACAACTACTTAATACACGTAGAAACTTGTTTGTGTACATCAAAATCTCGTAATTATACTAGTAATTATTATGCATGTGTGTATTGGCACAAGGAATTAACTTCCGACTCATGGCTTTGGAGGTGGCAATGCTGGGGGATGAGACTCCACCAGGATTGACCAAAGCACGTGCACATCTTCATATTGGCATGACTTCACATCATCGTATAGGATGTAGATCCCTCTACCTACATTGCAAAATACCATCACAAACTTAAAAGATTTTACATTTATCATTCTTCTCCAAAAAAAAGTAAGAAAAAAAAAATATACAGATATATATATTGATCTTTTACACTACGTACTCTAATGCAAATATTCCTGAGCAATGCAAGAGTTATACTATGAGAGCTGCAGGCAATGCAGTATGGTTTACTCCTCGATCCCACGCCTAACGTGTAATACAAATAGATGATGTTTTAATGTGAAACATGGGGAAAGAACAGTGATTAATTGCTAAAGAATTAGTTATTCATATAGCAAAATCGCACGATGTAAACTAATTGTAAAAACGAGCTATGTATATTGAGTAGCTTAAACATACGTACATAAAACAGAAGTATATGTGGAAAAAACGAAGGCTAAAAAAATTAAGGCGAAAAATATACTCTTTTTCGAGGTAGAATGCATCCGGACCCAGACCTTCTTCAACGGAGAGAAGAGAGATTGAAGCCAGCTCATCTCGGAGATGGGTGCTACGTACTATTTCCTCATCCTGAGATTAATGGAGAAAGCAGGGCAAAGGCTTCGAAATAACGGAGAGAAAGGGAGGGGGGTAGGAGAGTTAGTAACCGTCAGCTTGCTTTATTCTTGGGTGAAGTCTATTTCACTATTCCAATTGCCTTATTCCATTTTCCTCGCAACACCAATCACCTACCTTCTCATATAGCCTTATGGTACCTTGTCTCTTTCCAAAATTTCACCCTTCTACCACAATCTAACGTACCCACCCACCCGTGCACGTGCATGTGTGCACGGGTATACATACACACATAATGAAGACCCTTTGTTTTTTATGGTATATATAATTGGTGGTTGTTGATTGCAGACCCCGTGTAGTTAGTACTGGCCAATTGCAGTTAGACCCCCTGAGTGAAACTTTTTTCTTAATACCTTTTTTTTTACTCTCAGGAGGCCTGTTTGATAAAAATCAAATTCTCTTTCTCTGAGCGTAAAAAAGTTAAAATTTTCACTCGCGAGTCTATCTGCAATAATAAAATTATAAATTGTATAATATAATCTAAGACATCTTAAACTATACATTAATTAAACCTATGTAAAAGAGTTTGCATCCCCTCAGAATGACCTCCATGCTAGCAGGCTGTCTACTCTGCAAATGTGCTTGATATGGGGGAAAGTTGTCATTTCACGCACCTCATGATGTGCAGCTCAGAGGGGCCGCTCGTATGCGGGGCGTTCTGAGAAGATGTGTATTCTACATAAAAGTTGACATAGATTTCTTATATTGTACAATATGGTCCTTCGGTCTCCATTGAAACTACGATTTTTTATTCATCAGAATTTGAAATACTGAAATGTGCAAGGACAGGTCAATTTTAGTTTACGTAAGCTATTTTTTTAGAAGTGAATAAATGCTTTATTAATGCTACAGAAGCTGTGGTTATAACATCATTGTTAATGGTCAACAAAATATGCCCAGACATTGATCTTGAGGGGTAGAGAAACTGGAGTACTTATTCAAATGATGCCTTGACAAGAGCTTCTTTTGTTAGTTCAAACGTCTTGGTTTGTCTATATTAGAATGAAGATCAAACTGCTTAATCTTTTGTTATGTTCTAATTTTTTTGGTAATTTGTCAACAACTTGATGAGATATTTGTTGAACCACTAGCTATTATAGTAAGGTAGTATACTATCAATGTTTTTATTTCTGTATTTCCTGGGTAATTAGTAAAGCAAATTGAGAAAAACTTTTGGATGATCCTATTACGTTGCAACTTGCATCCTGTTAAGATTTGGAGAGAAAAGTAGAGTGTTCTCCCCTCACTCTATACTTTATTATTTATAGAGATGGATTAGTTACAAGTTAGTCTTACAGGCAATGTGAGACTAAACCAATGCTAAACTAATACTCTCTTCTAATACTCCCCCTCAAGTTGGAGCATATATATCATGCATGCCCAGCTTGTCACAAATAAAGTCAACCCATGTTCGACCAAGTGGTTTTGTAAGAATGCCTGCTAACTGATGTACTGTCGATACATATTTTGTCATGACGACTTTGTCCTCGAGCTTCTTGCTGACTACATCACAGTTGGCTTCAATGTGTTTGATTCTCTCATTAAACACGGGGTTCTCAGCAATGTGAATTGCTGCTTTATTGTCGTCATATAGACTCATGGTATATTCTGGAGGGAGACCAATCTCTGTTAATAAGTCTCTGATCCACACCATCTCTAGTGTCACATTTGCCATAGCCCTGTATTTTGATTCTACAATGGATCGAGACACAACACTTTGCTTCTTACTTTTCCATGACACCATATTTCCTTCGAGAAAGACATAATATCTAGTAGTCGATCTCCTATCATAAGGACATCCATCCCAATCTGTATCAGAGAAGCTTGCAACTCTGGTATGTCCTGATCTGAGTAGAGAATTCCTCGTCCTGGAGCCTTCTTCAAGTACCTCAAAATTCTCATTACTACATCCAAGTGAGTAGTTCTTGGTGTGGACAAGAACTGACTCACAACACTGACTGCGAATATCATGTCAGATCTGATCACCGTCAGATAATTTAGTTTTCCCACCAATCTCCTATACTGCCCAACAACCTCAAGAAGCCCCCTGGTCTGGTAGTAATTTTGAGTTCACGTCCATTGGAGAATCATTGTTTCTGCATCCTAACATCCTGGCTTTTGATAGCATATCCGGGACATACTTCCTTTGTGACAGAAGAATACTCTTCATTGACTTTGCGACTTCAATGCCTAGAAAGTATTTTAGGGAACCAAGATCTTTAATTTAGAAATGTATCTGTAAATGCTTCTTCAAACTGTCAATACCAGAAGTATCATCCCCTGTAATTACAATATCATCCACATAGACAACGAGCATAATTCATTTCTCATTCTGAATTTGCCAGAAAATAAAGTGATCTTTCTGTGCACGATAAAGCCTAAATTCCTGAATAACTGATGCAAAACGTCCAAACCAGGCTCTCGGAGACAACTTCAGACCATAGAGTGATTTCTTCAGCCTACACACAATTTGTATTCTCCCCCTGAGCGACAAAACCTGATGGTTACTCCAAGTAAACCTCCTCATCTAAAATATCATTTAGGAATCCATTCTTGATGTCCAACTAATAAAGTGGTCAGTGATTTGTCATTGCTAACGAAACAAAAATCCGAACAAATGTCATTTTTACCACCGGAGAGAATGTATCTATGTAATCCAAGCCATACACCTATGATTAGCCTTTAGCAACCAGTCAGACTTTCAGGCATGCCAAAGTTTCATCAGGATTCAACTTGACAGTGTACACCCACTTACGACCGACGAGACGCTTTCCTGGTGGAAGTGAGACCAAATCTCAAGTCTCATTTTGCCGCAAGGCCTTCATTTTATCCTGCATCGCTTGGTTCCAACCTGGAATAGACAGGGCTTCTGACACATTCTTGGGAACCAAATATGAGTCGAGGGAAGTAACAAAAGATCAAAAGGTAAAGGAGAGGCGATCATAGGAGACAAAGTTAGAAATAGGATGTTAAGTACAAGTCCGTGTCTCTTTTCGAAGTACAATAGGAAGGTCTTCCCCAGAAGGGGGTAAATTTATACTTACTGATTCAGGTTCTTCGGGCGAAGGATATGGTGTTGAGGCCGACGTTAGCACAGGAGCAAGAGCAAAACGATGATGATAAACTTGAATTGGGTCATTAAACCGAACTGAATCTTTGCCAGTAGCGTAAATAGTATTGTCAGCGGATGAACTACCACCATTAACCAATGGCTCTTACAGGATCAAATAGTCATACTCATCCGGTGATAAGGGAGATGGAGAACTAGAATAATCGGGTTTATCTTCAAAGAATGTTACATCAGCAGATAACACAAAACGATTGAGTGACGGACAGAAACACTTGTAATATTTATGCTTTCGGTAGTAGCCAAGAAAAATACCTTTAATAGACCGAGAGTTAAACTTTTATTTATTTGAACTGTGGTTATGAACAAAGCACAGAGAGCCAAAGATCTTTGGAGGAAGCGAAAAGAGATCATCGTTGGGGTATAGAACTTTGAAAGGAATTTTATTTTGCTGAGGAGTGTAAACACAAGAAGACTGATGGAGGATTTCATGTTGTTCATGGAAACTAGTAAAGTTATCATCCAAATATTCCTTTGCATTATCAGATCAGAAATTGTTTATTAAAGTATTGAATTGATTGACTATTTCGTAATAAAAGAGTTTAAATGTAGAAAAGTCTTTAGACCTAGACTTGAGAAGATAAATCTAAGTAACAGGAGAGTGATCATCCACAAAACTGAGAAAGTATCTGAATCCCAATTTAGAAGTTATTGGGTATGGCCCCCAAACATCAAAATGAATAAGATCAAATGGCTTAACAACCTTCTTATTGAATCGATTAGGATAAGACACACAATGGTGTTTGCCAAGTTGATACGACTCACACTCTAATAAAGAAAGGGATTTGAACTAGGGATTAAGAATCTTGAGAACAAAGAGAGAGAGAGAGAGAGAGAGAGAGGGATATCCTAGCTGACAGTGGTATTGTAGGGATGATAAGTTTCTGATACAAGCTAAATGTTTGGCGCCTAATTTTAGTTTATAAAGGCCGTGCTGCTCATGTCCCGTCCCAATCGTTTTTCTCGTGACCAGGTCCTGAAAGACACAATGTGTGGGGGAAAATGTCACTGTACAGTTTAGAGATTTAGTAATCTTACTAACAGATAAAAGGTTATAGAAAAAACTAGGAAGATAAAATACGGAGGAAAGAGGAAGACTATGGGCAGGATTGGTGTTGCTGACATCCTGGACAGAAGAGGAAGACTATGGGCAGGATTGGTGTTGCTGACATCCTGGACAGGTGTACGTGAACAATCAGCTAATATAACTGAATTGTATGTAGGGAAGAAAGATGACAAGATACCTTGATTCCTAGTCATATGATCAGTGACGCATGTATCTATAATCCAAGTATTAGACGAAGATGATGTAAGTAAAGATAAAGGGGTACCTGCACTTTTGAGAGTAGCGAATAATGAGAAAGACGATGTTTGTGAACTCTGGTATTGTTGGAATAATTAAAATTGCTGAAATTGACGATGCAGCTCCGCATCATTATGAAGGACTGACTGTGGTAACTTTCACTATTAGATGAGGTGAAGTTGTCCTGAGCGGTCATGTAAGCACCCTTGGCCTTCTTCTTTTCCAATTCAGAATAATTATATTTGAGATATTTTGGCTGGTGACAGTAGTTACAAGTCTTTACCGAGTCATCAACATGAGTATGTCCGCCTTGAGATGACCTCCATGGCCACCTCGGCCCCCAAAACGACCAGTGTGGTAACCTCCTCTCCCTTTAAAGTTTCGTCTACCTCTTCCAGGACCACTGGTATGACCCTCTCGTCCATAAGATTGCCAACTTTGAGTGGCAAACGCAGATCGATCCGCAGTGGATGTAAATGGCTGTGCAGGAATAACGTTCTTCAGAAAGTGATAAGTCTCAGCCAAAGAACTAATTGCGGAGCTCCCCATGATTTGTGGTCAAGCAGAGGAGTAAATGGAATCTAGGGTACCAAAATAGGT